ATTGTTAGTTATTGTTGATCATTGAATTGGTTGGGCTCCATTAGTCATCGATTTCTGTGTCAATGTTCCATTTATTTTCGAATCAGGATTATACAAAGAACATTCGTCACCGACAATTACACACTGCGCTCATTTTTTCATGAATTATTATTGTTCATCTTCCACAGTTCCACTTCGCGATTCTCCTTCATAAACTCTTTGAAATGCGCATGAATGTAATGTTTTCAACCATATTCAGCTTCACAATAATGATAAGATCCTCCCAACTTGGTATTCATGGAATCAAGTGTCCATAAAATTATAATACAATCTTGTATATGAACGTCATAATAATCAGAACATTCTCGCCATCTCTGCCATTCATATTTCCTCAGAGAATGTCCATGCAACAGCTGCAATTACAGTCTCGTCAAGGTGCCTCGTAAATTTCTGACAGTGCCTTGAATACCATGTGCCAACCATTCCTCGTGCAGATTGCATCTGATACTAATTTAGATATCCAATATTCATGACATTTTTTTCTCAATTCATATTACGAAATACTCCAGAGATCTACAGGTCTCGTATTTTTCCATGGAAATAAAATTTAAGATTCATCCTGAGGCGAATCACAATCTAAATGGACTACGGTGTATTTGCTTCTTCGTGGGTATCAATAGTCTTCTCAAAATAGCTCGAAGGAGAATTTTCCCAGTTACCATATACTCCTTGCATATCGTTTTTTGGTGCCACATGAGTATGTGAAGGTACACCGATGAACCCGAATGTAAACATAAATATCTGTATTATTTCAAGTTAGGGAAAATGTTTTCACAAAATTATTCAAGACGGGAAAATTTTCAAATAGAGTTTCCGGCAATTGGTGTCTCGTTGACTAGTTCTTTACGGACCCTATTGAATATCAATGGAATCGGTAAAATCCAATAATATTCCGTACAAAGAGGAGCCTCTCCGGAATATTGTACTTCGTTATTGATCGTAAGATGTAACGACCAAATTGCAACAATTCTTCAACATCCTCTCGCCTTTCCTGAATATTCCTCTCCATAAATGAACTCTTTGAATGACTCCTCACCCAAAATATTCCTCGTATAAACATAGCCCAAGCACACCCTAGATTTTGCATTCACTGAGCCAAATAATCGCATTAGCCATCTCCATTATCGATTACCAGTATTTCACGAAGACGTATATCCTCAAGTCGAATGATTATTCATAGCCGTTTATGTTGCTTCAGCGGCAGGGGTGCAGAGGGCTGGTTGAAACGGTCTGTGGTAAACTCCGAACGAGTGGCAACGACCCATTGCCCAACTGCAAAGTTTTAGGTGCTCCTAAAATCGATAAGCAAGCTCAAGAGCAGTGGGTCCCACACATTTATTACGTTTCATATTAATCGGGCTTGCGAAATTTCCATCCTCCGGTGGTTTATGGCACTTCATCAGTATGCTATGCGGTTTATAGCTTATCCAGCCCCGATTATCTCGCAGGTAAATATGCTTCTGATTTTCTGCATTCAACTGGGGGTATTAAAAGTTGAGAATCGTCCGATAATAGCAGAAACATTTTCAACGTCTCCACGGAATTCATATAAAACTGCTGTCTGTCGTTGGTAGCACTTGGGCGACACCCTGACGTGAACCATTCTCAAATTATTATTCCAATTCCCCCTTGGAAGGCAAGTGGGCGTCCCTATCAAAACGTAAATTTCAGAATGTTTTATGATCAGTCAACTTAATAAGCTGGATTAGTAACGAAGCTCTCCTCTATTCAGTAAATATTCCATTATCATGGCGTGGTCACCAAATATGATAATGAACTGTGAAGAATGGAAGACTTGTCTCAACAATCTGCAATCTGTTCAATGTCAAGAATGAGTTAATCGTAAGGACACACTGATTCATTCGTGGATACTTCAGGAACCCATTCTCAGTCCGATTATCATGTGATGTTCATACAAAATCATTATGTGAAAATCATTAAGTTGATGAACAAGCTCAAGAGCAGTGGATCACACGCATTTATTATGTTTCATATTAACCTGGTTGCGAAATTTCCATCGTCCGGTGGTTTATGCTGCTTCATCAGTATGCTACATGGTTTATAGGTTATCCAGCCTCGATTATCTCGCAGGTAAATATGCTTTGGATTTTCTCCATCCAACTCGGGGTATTAAAAGTTGAGAATCGTCCGATAATTTCAGGACCTATTCCAACATCTCCCTGGAATTCATATAAAAATGCTATCGTTAGTATCGCATAGGCGACACCCCGACGTGAACCATTTTCAGATTGTTATTCCAATTCCCCTCTGAAATGCAAGTGGAGTCGCCTATCAAACCAGTAAATTGCATGTCGCAACGTGACGTAGAAAACACGCGAGAGGAACTTGCGACACATGAAAAAAATAGACACCACGGAAGGCAGTCCTGCATAGCGGACGATTACCATGTGGCAATCGACTTTTGAAAGCTGAAGGATAGTAGACACGGTAGTCGGCATTTTGTAACCTTCCTGATGATGCAATATACAGTCCGCCGAAGCCCATCAAGAGTAGCTGAATAGGGGGAGATGAAACACTCGCGTCAATGTGCGGATCGTTAACTGAACCCTTAACCATACTCTCGAATTCTCCAATTTTCAATTTTATGATACACGATCCATGAGATTGTAATCCTCTTTGAAATGCAGTACCAAGGGGTTATTATTGAAAGGATTATAAATAATGCAGGACCGGCTGAATGGAAATGCATTCTGATGAATTTTATTTCTATCGCACGGGGATGAATGATGAATGGAACATTTATCCGAAATACTTTTTTTAAATCCCTCTAACAACCTGATGTGATGTCAGCATTTTTTTTCAACCTTCAGAATATCCATTATAGAGAATAGTATGTGAAATGGAGTGCTCGGATATCGATTCCAAGCAGTGTATTCTCTGAAAAGCTATTGGAAGACAATTGAACGTCTATATTTAATCCGATTTGGAATCAATACTGCACCAGAAGTTTTGAATAAGAAACATGCTGACCAAGTTTACGGGAGATGTACCTTCACAATGTTCCATATCTTTTCGCCAATAACGAAAGACAGATGGAATGGACAATGGGTAGAATCGAGTGCAGCATCGAAAGAAGACATCGCTTGATTTTCCTTTCGCACAATATATTGGAGTGGGAGACATCATCCCGTCTCTTCTCCCGTTGGTTCGCTGCAACATTTACAGAAACTCAATGAAGACGGTAGCAAAGGAGTTCCAAAATCCTCGGCACAAAATGATCCTTTTGAAATGTCCGCATTTCAACATGTTTCCGTCGTACTCCTCAGAAGTAAATCCATTTTGGATTTCCGTGAAATGTGGTAGTGCATTCTGCTTTGACGTAAGAGGATCACACAATGAAGTCACGGCTGTGGCGTACCAACTGCATGAATTTGTCCCTGAGGTATAGAATGCTGACAGATTTCATTTCGATTCTGCCTGTGTAACTCATCCCACGATTATGTATCGAATGCGCTTGACATCGATGTAATTAACTATGAAAGTTCAGTTGAAACTCAAACATGATGGGAGAGTGTACAGAGGGCTTGCGACAGCCCATCGTTAATGCATAGGATGCTCGAAGCAATTATTTGATTATTACTGTTCCTGAAACTCAAACACTTGCTTTAGCAACTTCTGTATCATATATAATAGTCGGTCGACTCGGTTCCAAATGTGAACGATCGTAAACATAGGGTGGTACGTTGGGAGTATTGATCCAGCTGGTGATCATTGCAAAGCCATCTTCAAATTTTGACTTAATTGGAAGAGAGTTTAGAATACTGGAATACGAAAAAAGTTCAGGGTTCAATAATGATTAGATGACTTATTTTCCCTTGGCAGAAATGTATATAACTTCAATAGCTGTAATCATTGATGAAACAAGTTGATTTGCGTTGGAAGTATCTACAGGTGATGAAGATTGTTGCGAAGCGATCTCCAAATTTTGAGTTAATTGAAAGACGGTTTAGAATACTACAATATGAAAAGAGTCCAGCGTTCAACCCTGATCAAATGGCTTATTTTCTCTTCGCAGAAGTGTAATACTATATCCCAATAGCTGTAAACATCCAACCCCAAAGTTAATTTGCGTTGGGAGTATCCACAGCTGGAGGAGATCGTTGCAAAGCGATCTTCAAATTTTGAATTAATTAAAAGAGAGTTTAGAATACTAGAATATAAAAATAGTTCAGGGTTCAATCTTCATCAAATGGCTCATTTTCTCTTCACAGAAGTGTAATACAACATCCCAATAGCTGTAAACATCCATTCCCAAAGTTAATTTGCGTTGGGAGTATCCACAGCTGATGGAGATCATTGCAAAACGATCTTCAAATGTTGAGTTAATTGAAAGAGAGTTTAGAATACTAGAACACAAACAGAGTTCAGGGTTCAACCTTCATCAAATGGCTTATTTTTCCTAAACAGAAGTGTAATACAACATCCCAACAGCTGTAAACATTCATCCACAAAGTTAATTTGCTTTTACGTTCTTTCGGAGTCATCCGAGTTAATTACGAACACTGTATCTCCCTTGAAATACCGGAATCACAGAGAAAACCTGAAGGAAATTGGAGTTCAGTACGTATTGACAGTATCTGAGCTCTGAAGACACTCGAGATAGCGATGTGACGTGGCCGGGAAGGTTAGAGTGGTGATCTTTTGTTCAGGTTTTTTCAGCCATGAGTGAACGAAGATGTGTTGTACATCCAATATCCGAGAGTGGTATCAGAAAGAGTGGGGGTACCATCGATTCATTGAAATCACCACTTTCGCATTGAAAAAAATTAATTTTGTTCAGAGGAGAGAAATCAATACTAACATATGTGCATTTTTTTCAATTTCAGATTGATGATCGATTATCTCGGATGCCTCAATCACCGACAGCCACCCGTATTCGAATAAAACGCGGAACTCAGAACTACGAATCAATTCATTTCATACTAAAAGCCCCGCAATAGCATTTTTTGCATTACTTTTTTTGCTTTTCCCTTCAAGTTTGTTCGTTGTTTTTTTCGCATCGAGAGATAGATGAGCTCGTGGAGGTAACCGTTGCGGAGTAATTAGCGTCCCTATCCTTTTTACTTTCCACTTTAAGATATATTCCGAACGCGTTCGAGTGCAATGAGAAGTAATTAAAACGATGAAATTAACTTTGGACTTGTACAGAATGATTTGGACGGAAAGATGTAGGTACATTAATGACTTACCACTGGGTTTACGTCACAAATGAGTGAAAAAGGAGTGGTTGACCCGCGTCGGGTGATGAGTCTTGACAAGTCTCTCATTAGGTTGGTCAAGGGTGATATTGAAAATTAGGTGACAAAGATGGAACTTTTTATAATTCTTGTTTGTCTGATTGGACCATCTGCTGTAATATCACTATCAGTTCATGTTGAATCGAATCCCCGGGTTGTACAAATGAGAAACGGTAGAATTCAGGGATTGAAGCAGTCCTTTGAGATTAAAGGATTGAAACCAGTGGACGTCTTCCTGGGAATACCATACGCCACTCCTCCCATTGGTGGCGACAGATTCTCACCGACCAAGGCACCCAGTCCGTGGAAAGGAATAAGGTAAATAACATCTTTTCATCTTTCATTGGAAGCACTGCATCATTATCGGCGAGATGGTTCTGTACGTTAGCTTCTTCTCGACTAATGAAATCGAACTAATTTTCAAACTCACTCGTGTAAATATTGGTATTGACAACCACTCGCCATCAATGTTGTTTCCGTTTCCTAGACAGCACTCATAACTCTGATTGAAGTACATGAATGCTTCATTACCTAAATTGGATCGTCAATTACTTTGCAGAAAAGCGGACAAGATTGGCCCAGTTTGTCCTCAAAAGTTACCGAACATTACCGACGAAACGAAGGCTCTCGAGCGTATGCCTAAGGGGCGACTCGAGTATCTCAAAAAACTCCTTCCACATCTCAGCAATCAGAGCGAGGACTGTTTGTACTTGAACATCTATGCTCCGGCAATGGGTAAGTCTTTTGTTATCGTCTCTCCTCCGAATTTCATCATTTCGTCTCCAGCAACTTTGTTCGCAATTCGATAATCGAATTGAACGTGGAAAATCGTGAGAAAATGACAGTAATAATATCAGAAGGGTGACGGAACCACGTTTGCAATAGCTTTTGTCGCACGTTCGTCACCCAATTTTCTGACCTATTGCGTACGTGTCGGCACAGAAGAGTGAGCATGCGGTTATAATTCCAATTTATAGTCTTCAACTCTTTGGAGTCTTTGGAGCTCTCTCAGAAAAACATCTCCGGAGGGTTAGATAATGTCTCAACAAGTGCAACAAAACGTTATTGGAAAATGACACGGAATTGTAAGTCCCTCACAATCTCAATTATCGGCGGAAAATAGTTAGTGATAATTTTCCTTTTTCTCCATCGTAACACCGAGTGGCGTCTTTTACGATCCAATAACCAGACAAACCTGGAATTCCTCTGGGCAAAAGACTCGGTGAATGCTATCGGTTCGTAATTGCCTTTCTCCCGTAGTGTACCGTCTTCCCTCATCTCTGTAAAACTCATTGTCGTTAGTTGAGTAAGCGGAACGTCATTTGTGTCTATAAAAGAAAAACTGCAAGCGTAGCGATACTCACCGTTAACTGCTTGTTAGATCTGGCCTAGATAATCGATGATCGTAAATAGAGGAGTTCGATATAATCAGCCTAGATATTTGCGAGGAAAAACTACGGCATCAGACTTAGGTTGATGTTCAGAGAAACTCAAGGGTCAGCGTAGTCATCAGCTAATCCGAGGATAAGACCCTTGCAGGACTCGGATAGAAACTATTCACTTGAGTGGTACTTATGCTTTTAAGACTGCGTACCAAGTTTCTGGTACTTGATAGTCACATCAAATAGTTAAGGGTCTAGGTCGAATAAGGCTTCGAGACCAAATTGGACATTTCGTCGTGTCATTCAGGGAATGAGACTCTTTATGAGAAAATTCCAATATCCCCCTATGATTCTATTATAATGAGATCATGCTCTGGGTAACCTGCACGGGAGAGAACTTCCTGCTGTTTGGGACACCACGTAAGTGATCCACATCTTGAACGGAATAGTTTTCCTCAAATAGCTGCAATGGGCGTACATCAAGTCAGTTCTTTTTTCTCTCATTGTACCGAAATGGAAAATTTTGTTTTCGCCTCCTATTCTGTGACTTCATGGTAACGTCCCAGTACACATTGTATTATGCAGTATGTGGAGGGAGAAAGGGGTAGCAACGGTCGATCGTCCTCACCAGGACGGAAATTGAACGGGAGCTTGAAGGAGTGTACTGTACCATGACGAAGGTACGTTTAGACGGAATACAGGGTTGGAGAAACAGATCGAACTGAGTATATATACAGTACGAGCCATATACTGTGCTGCAGCTATACGTTATAGTGAAGCCCAGTTGTATCTAGGAGGGAATTGTGTGACAAAGGAAACTGAGGCAAATGGAGTTCTCCATATTGAATATCTGAAAATGTAAATCTTGGAGAAGGGGATGCTGGAGGTAGGCTCCAAACAGGTTGAGGCATTCTGGGTTTAGGGGATGGTGGCAGCTGGAGGTTTGAGGAGAAGAGAAAAAAATGAGGAATTATGGAATGTCGCTGTGTACGCTGTTGAATAACAAGCTCCTTGGAGACTCCTCTTTTGTCTCATCTACGTTGAAACCAAGTTCAAAGCTATGGCTATCGATTCCTAAAGGCTTGGAACTAACCTTCCTTCGTGGATGATTGCCTTTGCCGGCACTCTCTTGTGTTAGCGCCTTTAGAGTCGAAGGAGTATAATAATTCATACTGGGTGTCTTCACTCCATTCATTATATTCGATTCATTGCTTCCAGCGGAGGAGTTCTATTAGTAGTACCAGAGCGATCTTGGTCTTATCAATTTCGAAATGATTTTGCGCCTTCTCTGTAGCATTGCGGATGAATCAGTGGGATTGTATGCCATGGTTTGTCGGTTAGAATCCTGATCATGAAAGCTAATGCTAAACACAGCATGCGGCAAGCTCTGTCAGACAACTTGTGCAGAAATTCTTGAGTCTCACGGCCTCAAAATTTCTCTCCCTAGTTTTTCCTGTTTATCTTTCCCTTCCCACCAATTCTCCTCACATCCAGTGTGCCAGTGCATTTAGGTCAACCGTTCTCAGTTCTTCAGCAACAAAAATCAACCAATGTAACTTGGACCGAAGTAGTGTCAACAACGAAGAGGTCCAGACGTAAAATGCAAACCAGAAACGGAAAATCGTTGGCACACACTAAACACAAATATACGAACACAGGCTTGCGTATGTTTGCATCTGTTTGTTTCCTTCCCTCACTCATGCCCGTTTTTGCCTTCCCTTCTAGCACTGGCTTTCACCTCGGGTGCCTCGGCAACTATCCAGAATACAAAGGAGGACGTCTGTCCTCCTCCCCCCCCCCTATGACTTGGGGATTTTGTAACCCAATACATGAAGTGAAAAGCGCCACAATGTGCATATGTGAAAAATAAAATGACACGATATATTCAGTCCTGAGGTTTTTATACCCCTTTCAGCGACTAACCAACACACCATTGAAAAATAAACGCATGCATTGAGAGGTTTACTGTGTTGGGAAAAGGCACCGTGTCGTTCCAATTGCATTTTTAACGAGCATTCGATACCCGTGGGTGTTCTCGTGGCTGACCATACCTCGACAACGAATCAACTGTCTCTCTCTATCCCATGGTTTAACTGACAATCGATTTTCCAAATCTGTCCACACCAGCCGACGCCTGCTGCAAGGATCGTTTCATTTTTCCCTCCATTTTCCGCCATTCAATTTTCCCATTATTTAATTTCGTCGTTTTTTCAATATTTTGTGGCTTCAAACATTATTATTACATTTTACAGAAATTTTAGAGTCGATTATTTCGGGAAAATTCAGGGGGAACAAATGGAAAAAATATATAATCCAGATTTGGTACTCGTTTATTCTTCAACGATCGATCTCTCTTTTTCTCGCTTTTCTTTCCCAATGGACGATTCCGTGGATGAAATCCCTGGGATTTGCACGACTGTCCGGAAGGGGAGGGGGAGAGGGAATATTACTGGGTGGTGTTCGAGCTACCGAGATGGATTTTTCTCACCCATCTTTTTCTCTCTCTCTCTCTCTCTTGAAACGAGTAGTCGAGGTTGATCCCGAGACGCATACCGGTCAAATTCAATCTCAGTTTACAGGAGAGTTGGGAATGGACGGTTGAGGTTAGTTTATGGGTGGTTTTTATGGGGGAATTCGATTCTTGTATCTCGTTGTCCTTTCATTCGGCAGGAATAAGGGAGATGGGGTCTTTGGTAGAGTCAACGTTGGAAATCCCGGGAATCACATTTGGGTATGGATGGATGGAGATATTTGTCTTTCTCAAGTGGCCTGGTATACCTTCGGGTACTTTAGTGAATGGCATTCTGCGTCCTTGATGGAAACCATGGTTATTTCAGTGGTTTCTACTCTCCCTGTTTCTTTACGAAATGAAATATTGTTAATTTTGTTATGAATTCAGTAGTTATTTGAAATTTTTGGTTGAATTATTGAATTTATAACGATTTTATAAGTCTGTCATCTCGAATTCTGAAGTTTATACCAAATTGTAATATTTGAAAATTTTCTGAATTTTTAGGATATTTATGTCGCGGTCAGGGATTCGAAAAAATTCAAGAAATTTATGATTTGTTTCATGCATTCTTTAATCGATTCCGATGCATTTTAGCAGGCGGCCTTATAAAAATTCTGGAAACATGAGAAAATGTATAGAAAAACTGTCACAATTTTTTTAAAACTTCACATCAAAAAAGTTTTCGCGGAAAAATGCAGGTGGCCAAGGAGAAGTGGTTCGAAGGAATCATTAAAAAACGTGTGCATCATGAAAGAGCGACACTGTCGAGATTAGAAATCGTGGAGGGGTAAGCGCGGCAAATACGAATGGAGTTGTAACTATACATTTCGCTATGGAAAACAACATAACAGCTGAGTGACTCAGTGCTTCCAAATCATAGCTGGAATGACGTAACGTTGTCATATCTTTCTATCCGTATTTATTATTTTACAATTTTCTAAAAGACAAACCATAAAAATAAACAAAAGCTTGAATTATGTAGAGAAAAAATAGAAAACTTATTAGAAATAGTATTTTTCCGGCCTGTTGCGATGGGGTTTTTTACTCGTGTGGCGTTGGCCTCCGAGCCGTAGGCGAGGACTGGCCAACCACACGAGTAAAAAAACCCCATCGCAACAGCCCAGGAACAATATTTTTCTGTAGTGATTTTCAAGTTTTCGAGTTTTGGGAAGTATGTAATACCAATTCCCAGACGAGAAATCGTGAGAAGCAGTACAGAAAAATATTTTCAACACAGAAGTCTTCGGAATAAATTAATTTTTTTTAATGGAAAACTAGTTTTGTGTGTTACCAACTCCTACATAAATACTTTAAGTCCCCCATGAACTATAAAAATATAATTTCCGTTCATCACCCCGAAAGAAGCCCTTTCATTCATTCTAAACATTAAAAAATTCTCATTAAAATACGAATCAAATAAAAATACCTAAAGTATCACTTTATCCAAACAAATCACCCAAATTTAAGGATAACCTCAATGAAATTATTTGTAACCCAGGAGGCTGCCATCTCAACAAACGTTCATCCCAGATTATTTCACCGGAGTGACAGAAAAAATGATGATTCTGAATAAAACATAACCTCCATACCCTTCCCCCCGGAAAATTGCATATTTACGTAAAAATTTTTCACCCTCCATCGAAAGTAGCCCCCCACCTCCTCGCTCTACGATTCACCAATGGCTTCGAAAGAGGTCACACACTTGGTCTTCTGAAATATTGAAATGGCATCAGCCTGGTAAATCCCAAAAGAAGGATGAAAACAAAAAACGAGGCGGAGACGTTGAATAAGACGACAGGGACGTATGTAGATGCAATAAGCTATGAGAAGTAGTGAAAAGT